GGCAGCCAGCACGCTAGCTTGCCATGTATTCATGTGGTAGCCAGCACCCTGGCTTGCCATAGCCAGCATGGTTCATTTGGCAGCCAGCGCTCTAGCTTGCCATGTATTCATGTGGTAGCCAGCACGCTGGCTTGCCATGTGTGTTCATGTGGTAGCCAGCACGCTGGCTTGCCATGCGGGTTCATTTGGTGGCCAGCACGCTGGTTTACCATTGCCATGTGTGTTCATTTATTTGGTGGCCAGCACTCTGGGTACCAAGTAGCCAGCACGTTGGTTATCCATGAAAGCAGGTATTTGTTGTGTGTGTGTGTGTATTTTGAGTTTGCTTCAAACCAGTGCACTTCGCCGCTATTGTCAGATGAGGGGTGGAGCGTTTTGGTTGTTGCAAGTTGTATAGGGCAATGAAGCACCGCATTGTGTTGATGAATTCCCTTTACTCAATTGAAACCAAAGCATATCAAATCGACCTCAGCAAACAAACATCAGTTCCTGTAGCCAGCTTGGATGGCAGAGCTTCAAGCAGTGGCGTGGTGAAGGACTGGGCCACTGAAATCTTGAATATTCTTGAAAACTGCTTCAGTTAACTCCATGTTGCACACGAGCACTCAGTCAGACGTTGCGCAGCAGCTGCTGGCTTCTAGAGCATTTGGCTCAAGAAGCACACTGGCCTGTTGTGACACCTGTGCGCCGCTGTTGTCATGGCGGACGATTGCCTTTCATGCGCATCCACCACCTTTGAAGGTTTCTCAGCAATCTATAATAGTTGATGTTGTGTTTCAATGTATCAGACTGTGACATCCTTCATTGAATATGACTATGGTTTCAATACCTCGTAATGGACAACCCCAAGTCACTTGACATCAATCTTTTGGCCCTGACTGCAGGTGACTACTTTGGATCCTCTGACTCTGAAGACGGGGAGCGGCCTTTGAAGAGGCCAAGGGTGATCGCCCCACCGAAGGTGATTGCACCCCCAAAGCTGATTGCACCATCAAAGGTGATTGCTCCACCGCGTGCTCCTTGTGTGCTGCCACGCTTGAAGACCCTTCCAGATGGCCATCCGCTGATCCACCTGTACATCGCCACAGAGTACCGCCGTAATACAGTTGGCGATGTGACCTTGCAGAACTTCAATGACCGGGTGGCATTTCTGTGGATGGAGTTCAAAAGCTTGAGCAAGCTGACAAAAGAGGAGTACTTGTGCCCAGGCTGAGGTGTGAGATCTTCTTTGTACTTACATGTTGATGTGTTTTGCTTTGGCTTCTGGATTTTTGTTCGCCTGATTGATTGAATTTGTTCGATGACCATTTCTCACCTCATTGAAGGAAGGTCCTCCCTGGTGGATTCAACCTCCGTTGCTACAACCAGGTCTTGGAGCGGGAAGGCGCTGACTTCGAGGTTGTCCTGGATGAGGCCTGATGCGGCTGGCAAATGATCTCCACTTTTAAGGTCAGATCTTGCAGCTTCATTTTCATTTCTCGCACAGCACACCAAAGTGGTTTTTGGGTCACAAAGTGCTGTGGCCTTAACTTAGCTTTTCTGGGCCTTTGGAGCCTTAGGACTTTTCCATGCTTGAAGCTGAATCAGAGCTTCCAACAGCATCTCACACGGAAAAAGAGCACGCCCAGCAAATCCAAGAGAAGCAGTCATTTCAGTTGCTGGCATTAGCTTCTCCTAGCTGGCTTCATGTCGTCTCATTGATTCCCTCGCAGCGCAGGACCACCAGTTCACTCAATGGCTGATGAGGACAGAAGTCTGAGATTTCCTTTTTTGCAGGAAGTGCGACGCATGTCAAATTTCAATTTCACACCAACTTTCTCTCAGGTGCTGTCATTTGTTGTAATGCGTTTTCAGGATGAACCCTCTTGCCCAAGCCTTCCTGACCCAGTTTCAGACACCGATGACGTTCCGAGCTCCGGTGAAGTTTCATTGCCAGATTCAGTGGGGTCTAACCAGCCTGCATCCAAAGCAGGTCCAGGTATGATCAACTGTTGCAAAAAGCAGTGCAGTAAGAACTGGTCCACAGAGTGCATCGAAGAGTACCACTTGCAATTCCACCAGAAGGAGTGTCAGGATCGGATGAAGTTGAAATTTGATTGTCTACGTGATGTTTACAAAGCAAACCAAGGGCATTCAAAGCAAGATGCACCCAAAACTTTGCAAAGGCAATTTCAAGGGCAACAATGTTGCAGGAAGTTTTGGGAGTTCATCCATGGCCTCAGCCCCAACAAGGTAGATTCTCTTCTGAAATCTATCCGCGCTGGTGCAACAGAACTAGCGCCACATGGGCCAAGGTTTCAAAGAGACAAAGATGCATGGCATCGCATCAGGTTGGAACTTTATCAGCGCCTTGCTGAACCACTTTCTTTTCAGGTTCAGAAGATCGCATCGCAGAAGTCGTTGGGGTGCAGCACGAAGTGGTGGACGACACCAGTCACCCTTTGTATGGCCTTAGTCTCAACGTTCAGGGAAGTTGTCCCAAAAATGCTCCCAAACGCTACTTGAACTTCTGCACTGAAAAGGAGTTGTGGGAATTCTACATTGCTGATGCGGCGGCAGACTTTCAAGTTTCCCGCGCCACTTTCCAGAAGTGCTACAAGTCGTGGAGCAAGTTCATGCCATTGAAGGATCAGGGCGGCGGGCAGAAATGCAGCGCATGTGCTGAGTTGTCAGAGAGGAGATCACAATGCTCGACAACTGAGGAAAGGAAGCAGGTCGATGCAGAAAAGCAACAACACATTGACATCGTGAAGGCTGACAGAGCCATCAATCAAAGAGGCAACAAACGTGCAAGTGCTGAGAACAATTTCCTGAAGGCAACAGCTGACAAGAACATCCTCAAGATCATGATAGATGGCATGGACCAGTCAAAATTCAGTCTTCCCCGACACGGGCGGATGGTTGGCACTGCAGACTTCTCCAAACTTTGGAGACCAGCCATCCATGTGGTTGGGGTGCTGGTCTGGGGACTGTGGGAGATGTACTTCCTCATGGAGGCCGATTGTCCAAAAGACAGTTCAATGAACTGCACATTGGTTTCCCGCGCCCTGGACTTGACAAAGCAATTGCTTGACGAGATGGGCGATCAGTTTGGGTTCCCCCAACATTTGATTGTCAGCGCTGACAACACTCCAAGGGAGAGTAAGAATGCCTTCTTCGCAACCTACCTTGCATGGTTGCAGTTCCTACAGTGCTCTCACACACACACAACGAGTTGGACCAAAGATTCTCAACAATGGCGTTCAAAATCAAGGGAGCAACATCCATCGAGGACATTAATGGCCTACAGGAGTTTTTGATGGGAAACATGCCCCCAGCTGGCAACCGCCGCTTGCATGTTGAGGCCCTTTCAAAAACTTGGAACTTTTCACAATGGTTTGGCCAGCTTGGCTGTCATGTGTCCGGACTGACTGCAACACACTTGGAACCCTATGCCAACCATGTTTGGAGGTTCCAAAGCCGAGAAGAGTTCGATCAGGAGGAAGTCGAGTGCCATCGGCTTGACTGGCAATCATTTTGCCATCCCAAGGACGTAGTTCTTCTGCTTGACGCAGTTCATGTCAAGCGCTGACAAGTCACAGCCCCCACAGCTCCTGCTTCCTATCCCTGTCATGCAGAAGCTACAGAAATCTACATTGAAAGGTTCTCAAAAGAATCAGTTCTCTCAGACAACCCTCAATGAGTTCAGGAAGACTGCCCGCTCTGTCTCGCAAGCTCCATGGCCACTTGCTCCTTGATGATTGGGGCGATCCAGGATGTATGCTTGCACACCGTGTGAGATAAGTGATGTTTAGAGTTGAAAATTTTAAGATACTGTAAGACTGCAAGTGGTTCCAAGTTCATTAAACACTCTTTTGTTCATCGGTTCCCAATCCAACCAACCAATGATTCAGGCCCATTTGTTCTCCAAGTTGTGTCTAAGGACGCTGTGGAAGGCGCAAGCATATTTGGAAACACTGTGTGATCAAAACGAGCGATGTGTGGTACCACCTCCTCCCACATTGGATTCGGTGTTCAGTGTGGCCATGGAGGCTCATGTGGAATTGCCAGTACCCAACCACGAGCTGGACCACATTGACCTTCCACCAGTTCCTGCACCTCGTACAGTACGAGTGGCCAAGAAAAGGGCAGGCCCACCTTCTGCTGCCCCAAAGATGAAGAGGCCTGCTGCTGCCCCGCGAATGCAAAGACCAGCTGCCTCCGCCTCCGTTCATGGCCCATCTGAGGAGGGCGCTGATCATGGCCCCAACGCCAACATTGCTGATCAGCCTTCAGAAGCTGGCGGTGGTCCTGCTTCTGACCATGCCAACATTGGCGAAGCTGCTGTCCCACCTGCCCTTCCACATCTGTCCGAAGGGTTTTTGTATTATGGATGTGGAAAGTGTCGCAAGAAGCCAACTCCCAAAATAGGCTGTGCAGTATGCCGTGAGAAAGCGCATCTCAACCAAAGCGGTTACAGACGAAGCGCAGGTGGCTATATCTACAGAGTGCAGGAGTGAGCTGACAGTGAAAAGAGATATTTTTGTGTCCACATTGAATTGACACCAGCAAACAGTTAGCCTTTGCTAGGAAAATCACACTTGGTCCTCGTTTTGAATTCTTCTGAGAAATAGCCACATCAGTCAGCGATTTTTGTTCAAGGGTTTGATGGGAAAACCTGCCAATTCTGATGAGCCTCAACCAAGTTCATTGGTGGCAACTGGGATGCAAAGAAATTAGTTCAATCTGATTCCAATGAAAACTTAAGCACCTACACCTGACATTCCACCCCAATCACCTGAAGCCATGTCTGACATTGATGGGTCCTTGCCAAGCAGCGTTTGTTCAGATTCAGATGCAGCTGATGAGCTGCCTTCTGATATTGGCTCTGACAATGGCTACGTTCCTGAAGATGGTGACAATGAGCTGCCCTCTGATGTGGACTCGGCCAAGGACAGTGTTGGGACAGACCTTCCCGATCTTGTTCTTGAAGACTCAGAGCCTGAGCTCTTTGTCAACACAGCCAAGGTGCCATCTCCGATGTGACGGCTTTTCTGCAGAATCCAACAGAGCGCATTGTTGGTATGGAGCTCTACTCCCCACCCAGAGTCCTCCAGCAAATTCATGAGGTGCAAAGATGGTGTTGGGCATTTGACATCCTAAATGGGTGGAACTTTGACAGTGTTCCACTCAAAGAATTGACCTGCGCCATTTTGTCTTTGGGTGTGATATACATATTCCTGTCACCCCCTTGCACAATGTTCTCTGAACTGCAGCGCTTGTGGAACTACAAGAAGATGCCACCACACATCTTTGAGGCACGCTGGTCACAAGCCAAGGCTTACATGGACCACTGTTGTGCACTGGCCCTGACACAGTGCCAAAAAGGCAGATGAATCATGCTGGAACATCCCTGGCGAGCATCATCATGGTCTTTGGACACAGCCCGCGCCCTGATGCAAAAACCAGGTGTTTATGCAGTTGAATTTGACATGTGTTCAGTTGGGACGATGAGCCCCAGGCTGCAGCCAATAAAGAAAAGAACCAGGATTCTTACCAACGACAGTTACTTAGTAGAGCGGCTGAAGGTTTGCCAGTGTGACAAATCACACTTGCACTGTCAAATCCAAGGATCCCAAGATGGGTACAGGCTGTCAACATGGGCACAGGTGTACCCACCTGGGTTGGTTTCAATCCTGAGAGACTGTTTGGCGGCCAAGAGATAGAAAGATGCGGCGATTTTCAGAATGTGCACAAGTCAGTCTTGGATTTTGAGACATTGAGATGCGGCGATTTCATTTGAAACGCCGCCATCTCCAAGGGTTTTGCAAGATCCTGCACAAGTCCACTTTCAAAATCCAGACAGTGACTTGCGCACATTTGTTCAAATCATGGCAAGATGCGCTGATTTCAAATGAAATGCCCACATCTCACTATGTGAAATCCAACATTCCAGATGCGCTGGTTTTGAGATTTGGCAGTTTAGGATGTCCATGGCAAGATGCGGCGATTTCATTTGAAACCCCCACATATCTGCACCCCCCTTTGATGGTTGTTTGGCAAGATGCGGCGGTTTTGTGTTCCAACCCAGATGCGGCGGTTTTGAAATTTACCACTTGGGTCAAGATGCGGCGGTTTTGAGTCTGACACTGAGTGTTTGGCTTCAGTCTTTGAGAGTTTTCAGGGCGCAGCAATAATGGCTGAGACCCCAGAGATGACTGCGGCGCTAGCAGTTTCTGGTCCTGCTCCTGGGACACCTGTGCCAGATGACCCAATGGGTGGGGTGGCCCAAACTTTGCTGGAAGACTGTATTTGTCAGACGCGGGATTCTGGAGGCCCCGCCAAATACTTGCAGTACAATGTTGTCCAGGAGGAGTTTCTTGCATGGCTGCGCAAGTCATTCCCAGAGCTCGAGGACACCTTCTACACCAACACGTTGCCACTCCAGGCAGTGACATTTCAAGAGATGGGGCAATGTCTACCTTTGGTTGTCCATGTCTCAACTTTGGGCTATGCTCCTGAGTGCTCGCTGAAGCCACCCCCAGGCATTGATCTGGTTTCCAAGCTCATCGAGTTGATTCTAGTCAGTGGTTTTCAAACTTCTTCCGAGCCACTGTTGGTTTTGGAGCCAGACAGCATTTCCACTGACGACCTACCAGCATTTAGCTTGAGGTTTTTGAAAGGCGTGACACGGTGCACAGCTTTGCTGATGGCGCTTCATCGCTGCATGAAGCTCAACCTTGACCCTCAGACAGATCTCCCAGAATTGTGGCGTTCACTCTTGCAGGTTCATGTGCACCACATCAAGCTGAAGAGCAAAGTGGACGAGGCACTTCAGAACATGAAAATTTCACGCCAAAGCAGTGTCAGGAAGGCCACCAACACGATTCAAATGGTCTTCATGGTCAAGAAGCTGGTGGGCTTTGGCTTGACTGATCATGGCTCATTCACCAAACGCTGGAACAGCATGACATCACGGCAGTTTCAAATTGTTGGGAAGCGGGCTGTATCCATGAAGCTTCTTTTTGAAGAGACTCCGCAGGCAGGGTGTCAACTTTTTGCACATAAGTAAAAGGCTTTAAGCTAGGTGTTTACATTGAGTGATTTTGGAAATGAGATAAACAACAAACACAGCCATCCTTCACCTCCACCATCTACAACACATGTTTGATATCAAGACCCAACTTTTTGAAGAGCAGCTTACTTGCAGGCTGTCCTGGACAGTATCCTGGAACACGTCAATGACCTTCAGTGGGAGCATTGTGTTTGGTCAGATGATAACCTCAGCACCAAGAAGCTGTATCCCAAATGGCAGCGCACAAGCAAATCCAAGGCATGGCTTCCAAGAGTGAAGACAACAAGGGAGTCCATGGATATTGCAGCGCGATATTTGCAGGGTCAACACATGAAGCGTGTTTCTTCTGGCAGTGCTGGTGTGAAGAAACCCGATTTGCAGTATGTGGAAGAAGTGTCCCTCAAAGCTGCTGCATTGTGGAACATTGGACAAGAACTTTTGAAGTTGGTCCCTGTGAAGCATGAGAAGTTTTGCGAAGTGTGGATTGAGGCTTGGATCTCTGGTTCCTCTGAGGTGGATGTTGAGCTGGATGCTGTCCTCGTGGACCGTTCAGAGTCGTTTGACCCTCGCAAGGACATAGGCATCTTCAAGAAGTTGGTGGACGAACAGGTGTTTTCGAGGCCAGTGGCTGCAGCGCCTCACGAGGAGAACTCACTGACTGTTGATAAATTCAACCTGCTGATCAAGCAGATTGAGTATGATGTCCAGGTGTATGAGACATGGACCAAGAAATGCAGCTCAGTGTATGCTGCGCGGGATCATGCAATGCAGCAGTGGAAGTTGGAACGCCACAGGCGATGCACATCTGGCGCACAGCTGTTCCTGGACTCATGCGCTCGACTCAGTGTTTGGGAGAAGTCCAAGCCCGAGACTGCCGTTTCTCAACTGCTGAAAGTCAAAGTTTCATGCCTGTTGCATTTGTTGATTGAATCTGAGACCCAAACCTCAATCCACTATAGATATAGATGGTAAAGGCATTTGTCATTGGGAATGGTCCAAGCACATTCAAGTTTCAAGACGCATCCATGTTTTGTAGTGGGTATTCTTTGTTGTTGTATCAGGAGTGCATGAACATGAAGCGTGACCACATCTTGCCAAAGCTTGGGTCCAACAGCAGCAGCGAGATCCCCCAAGTCATTTGGATGAACGCCGCCGCACCATCGTTGATTCCTGCTGATCACCAACTTCAAGCTTCCAAGGTCATGACATGGGCGCTGAGTGACCAGATGCAATCAATTGGGCTTTGCTTGATGCCTTCCTGGACCTATACCAAAGGCCGACTTCACTTGGAAGAGAAAGCCATCCTGGAGCGTTTGGCCCATGGGAACCACAACCTGGACTGGACTTTTTCTGTGGTTTTTGGGTCCAAGTGCGACCAAAGGGACATGAGGCCAATGGTCTATGCAGGCAGGTTCTGCTTCGCATCGCCGCTTGAACTCACTCAGAATGTCTTCTGGTCAAGCGAGCTTCGCAAGAAGCAAAGGACCGATGAAGTCCAGCAACTCCACTCTCGTGACATGCGTGAGATTGAGAACCTGGATGAAGAAGCTCTGCCTACAAGCACAGACTCAAGAGAAAACATCCGAGGTGCAGCCAAGTTTGCGCAGATTGGGGCATCTGCTTGTGAGGCTGTCTTGAACGGTGTCTTGACAGGCGCTCAGTATGAAACCATCGGAACTGGTTTGCTGCTGATTGACCTGCATGTGTTGACAGGTGACATGTTGGAAGCCTTCATTGCAGTTCGGAAGAACTACCCTCACACCTTTTGCATCGGGTTTTGCGAGGACCAGAACCAGGTCTCATTCATTGAGCACATCATGAAAGAGCGCTTGGTTGAGGCTTTCATCAACGGTGCACCTATGCCCAACGGTGAGAAGGTCGAAACTAAGATGACAGAGGACCTCATTGACCCTTTGCCTGAGGTGCCACGCCTGAACGTCTTGGCCCTTTGGTCTGACTTATTGAATTATGGCTTGCTGATTTGCCATTTGTTTGTGAGTACAATACAATCAACAGGGTAATAGTAACTCAAGTTTTTGCTTTGGGTGAGCCATCACGATGGCTTCCAACTTCCCATAAGGTTGTCAATGACCAGAAACTGTTCACGCCAGCTTTCCTGGTGCGTGAATGGACTGGCCATGAGTTGTGCGGTAAGCAATTTGAAAGCTTCTTGTCAGAGTTCACGCAAAGGTATGGTGTCATTGATCCAGGGCAAAAAATTGAGAATGAGGCTGCAGAGGAGGCCGGGAAAGATGGAAAAAGGAAAGGTGGTGAAGAGGAGCCTGGCCCGAGTCCAAAGAAGCTGAAGTTCACCATCGATTCCAACCTGGTTGTGGCCAATGACAGCATTGCTTCGGTTCTCTTGCACGAGTGCAGGGTCGGTGGAAAAGATGCTCCAACCATTCAGCTCCGCACACCAAATGAAATGTTTTTGGTGAACAAGGGCGAGAAAGACTGGTCGGGCTCTGATGTCTTCGCGGCCGGATTCGGAAAAGGCAGCTTCAAGTTGATCAAAGACCAAGACATGCCTGCAGGGGCAGTGGAGTTCAAGATGGAGACCACAGACACATTGGTGCATTACAATGGCTCTTTGACCACGCTTGACAAGGTGATCGCTGAAGCCAGGCAGAAAAAGCCTGACACGAAGGTGTGCTACCACAAGATGGACGGTGCTTCTTTGAGCCAAACCCACCGAGTGGTGTTTGCGCCGCGGGCAGAGGAGCGTTCTGGCGAGGTTACTTTGAACAATTTTGCAGTCCGCCAAAATGTTTCTACACGGATGGCATCCCCTTGCTTGGCAGTGGTCTGGTATGTCAAGAACATGGCCAAAGGCATTTGTCCAGTCAAGCCCGCAGTTCACTTGAAGGGGTCAGTCACTTTGCCATGTGGCAAGGCTTTGAAGTGTCACACCTAGAAGGTTGAAACTAGGAAACTCCGATCAGGGGGGTTGCTGGTGCACAGGCCCTTGGTTGATTGTTGAATAACAAATAGCAGACCAAGGATTTCAATCAAACTATCATTATCATGTTTTAACACAATGAATTGTTGGTTCATTTGGGTTCGCACCGCGCGCATTTTGCTTGAAGCCGGGAAGGGTCTGCAGAGAGCGGGATTGCTGGAAGAAACCAATGAATATATAACCATCACCAGTTCTTTCAGAAATCCACACTGGTCACACTATCAAAGCATTTGATGTCTATGTTGTTTTTGTGTATGGCTTCAGGGTGTCAATCAGCGCTGCTGCAGGTTGAACCTGATTTGCAGTTTTTCACCCATTGAACAGCGTGCAGCGTCCCAGAAATTCAATCTCTAGGTCAGATGTCTTTGTGAACTTGTTGCTGTGTGTTAAGAAAACTCTTTGCGATCCGCAGCCATATTAGTAAGGACAAGACAAGACAGTTGACAAACAAAACATGGTCGGATGTTCAAACAAAATAACCAACCAGAGGTTCACAGGTTGCCGGCATTTTGTTTCCAAGCACAACTTTCAATACACTCCAGCACAAACAAATGAGGCTCTGCTCTAGATAAAACTCAGGAATGCAAGCAATGTTTTCAAGACCTGTTCCAATCTTACACTTGAGATTGCCTAACCTAGGTAGGCTCTGTAGCTCTGTTGGGAATTATCTGTTCACTTCCCATGGCTCAAGAAATAGGATCCAAAATGCACCTTGGGAGCCAGTCCCCACGTGGGAACGCAGCCCTGGAACACTTTGCAAAAATAGAAAGCTTGCAAGTATCGCAACTTCCTAATTGTTCGCCTTGTGGGCACGCCACTAAGCACAATCAAAGGCCAAGGCTTTTCAAGTGTTCTCTATAGACATCAGGTGGGGCAGCAGCCCCAACGCTCGTTTTGGTATTGAATCTTGAAGCGTACTTTGACTGCAGCGAGCAATGATGTTTTTGCATACGATTTTGGGTCGCATTTGTTTGTCTGGCTGCTTCGGACAGCCTATGTCCCCAGCGCTGTCCTGCAAACCAAAAATAGACGTAAACACTCCGACCAACCCAGACTGCCAGCTTGCTAGCTGGACGACAAGGACCGAAGGACAGGACAAAAGCAAACATGGTTCTCAGCTTGCTTCCGGGCTCGTCCCCAACTCTGCCCCGGAAAAATACGATTCCGGCGACCTTGGACATATGGCTGGCGTGAAAAATGCGTTTGCACGCGTACGCAAATTTACCACTCTTCCACGGCGCAAAAAAAATACGATTTGATTGACAAATCGCATTTAAAATGCGTTTGTCGCCTCAAATCGCATTTAAAATGCGTTTTGAAAATGCGTTGCGATAAGGTCTTGCTGCGGAGGTTGCAAAAATGCGATTGAAAAATGCACTTGTCTGCGCGCGGCGCATTCTTTTTACGAAAAAATGCGTTTGTCCGGGCGCGGCGCATTTTTTGTGCGAAAAAGTGCGATTGGGATCGTCAATCGCATTTTTATTCCAAAAAAATGCGTTTGGGCTGCCCAATCGCAAAAAAAATGCGTTTGGGCTGCGCAATCGCAAAAAAAATGCGTTTGGGCTGTACAATCGCAAAAAAAATGCGTTTGGACTGCGCAATCGCCAAAAGAAATGCGTTTGAGCTGCACACTTGTAAAGAGCCCAGGCGCCTTTTGTCGGCGGTGCATTTCAGTCGTAATTTTTGCAGCAAGCAATCGCTTTTTAATTGCATTGCATTTTTGGATCACATTTTTTGACATTAGCAATCGCATTTTTTTCAACATTGCATTTTCAATCGCATTTCTAACATCTAGCAATCGCATTTTTCAGAACATCGCATTTTCGATCGCATTTTCTTACTCTAGCAATCACATTTTTTCAATCAACGCATTTTCAATCGCATTTTTTGGCAGCCACTTGGTGTAAAAATAATTGTTTCCATGGCCTTCAGGCTCTACCTACTTAGGCGATCTTAATCTTACACAAACCAAACAGTAACTAGACCAAACAATAGTTCTTTCATTTTCTCTTAGTCTTGCATTGCGATCTGCAATGTCGGCGCCCTCAAGCAGCTCTGGGACAAGACCACCACGGCCTGAAAAGTGGATTCCAGATCCAACAAACCAAAGGGAGGTCCAGCTGAGACACATCAAGGACCTCAAGAACGAGCGAGAAAGAGCCAGACAGTTGAGAAAACGGTTGCAAGCAGAACTTGGAGAAGCGACGAGTGACCCTTACCAAGTTCCAGAGGAAGATGTCGAGCTGGACCTGGAGGAGAAGGTCAAGAAAGAGGTCGTGGAGGAGGTGGAAGCAAAAAAGAAAGAGAAGAAAAAGGACAAGAAAAAAAAGAAAGACAAAAAGAAGGCAAAAGGAACAAGGCCAAGGCGGTCTAGTTCCAGCAAAGCTCCAAAGGAGGGGGATGAGGAGAGCAGAAAAGAAGCAAACGAGGAGAAGGAGAACACGACAAGTGCCAGCAAGAAGAAGGACGCCGACGACGTTCAGGAAGAGGGCAGCGCAGACAGCAACCCGACAGTGTTTGAGACTCCAACACCAACGTCGCCGGCAACCCAAACGGTGATCCCTGCACAGGGGGAAGACTCTCCCAAAACTGTGGATCCGCTCGCGTAAAAAGTTTGCTTCAGCGCTCTTGTCCTAAACTCAACACGTGAGGTCAGTTGTGAAGACTTTCAAATTTTTCAATTGATAGGCCTGAGCTTTTTGGAGTTGTCAAATGCATGTTTTTCTACAGGCTCCCAGTGACATGAACACATCAATACAAGTAGTTCCCGGGCAAGCCGGCGGCGGAAGTTTCCTATAAGAACAAATTGACCTATAGGAGTGTCCACGTTCTCTCCAACATGCGCGTCCTCCAGTCAAACGCACGCGCTCCGGACTTTTGACCCACGGGATTCCACGTGTGTAAGGTGTGTGCCCCCTGCAGGATCAGCAGCTCACAACAGCGTACTGGGTTGTATCTTTGCCACGACAAGAGGGGTGTATGACGAGTGGTGTATGATGAGTGGTGTATTGACCAGCAGTTGAATGTCCTGTCCTGCATAAATGCAACCAAATACTATCAGTATGAACTGTGCCAAACCTGCACGCCGCGAGAGATGACTCAGCAGCGAGAGATGGCTATAGCGAGAGCTGACTCAGCAGCAAGAGATAATTGAGCAGCGAGAGATGACTCAGTCGCGAGAGATGACTCACAGCAGCGAGAGCTGACTCAGCAGCGAGAGATGACTCCTCCGCGTACTACACTTGTACTACTACAAAGTGGCCAGTTCTCAGCTTCCAGCTCCACAGGTTGTTCCGCGTGCTAAAGTTGTCCTAGAAAGTCGCCAGTCAGTTCTCATCTTCCACCTCCCCAGATGCTCCGCGTAAAGTTGTACTTGAAAGTCGCCAGTTCTCAGCTTCCAGCTCTACAGATTGCTCCGCGTACTAAAGTTGTA